AAGGGTTTCTATGACTCTGTAGGGCTACTTTTTTACTCACCATCATATTTTTATACTTTCTAGGAATCTTGGGAAGATTTAATCCACCAGATATTCAGATTAGAAGTCATGGTATTTTACTGGGAAAATAATGCTATGCAACAAAGTACCTTGTGAAAGTTTGTGATTAACCCACACTGAATAATCTCACTTTATAAAATTTTAGCATCTTAGAGTAGGATTTCACATTGAAAACAGGCCAAGAATCATTTCCATTATCATTAATCTTCTGCATTAACCCAGCATATTTGATAAGTGGATTGGTATATGAGCTCTAGCTTTACTGTAAACATACTAATTAGATATATAGATAAAAAAGAAAAAGACCAAAGCAATGGAGATAAGAAAAAAGGTTCATCCTAAGACTTCCTAGTCATATGAACCCAGGTATGTTTTAAACTTGAAAAACTGAAAAGTTAATGAACAGTATCTTGCTTTAAATGCATGAAATGTAACAAATAATTTGATAGGATTCAGCTTCAACAGAATCTTATGGCATATTGAGTTACATATTGGGCTGCTAACCATAATTTCAGCAGTTCAAATCCACCAGCCACTCTGTGGTATAAAGATGAGGCTTTTTGCTCCTATAAAGATCTACAGCCTCCAAAACTCTATACAAGATTGCTATGAGTCGGAATTAATTCAACAGTACACAACAACGAACCAGAAACAGGTTTTTTAAAAAGTTCATTCCTAAATAGAAATAATCTTTTAGCATATTTGTTGTTATTGTTGTTAAGTGCCTTCAAGTTGGTTCCAACTCACAGCAACCCCATGTAGGGTTTCTGAGGAGAGCCTGATAGGTTTGAATTGCTGACCTTGGAGTTCAAAATGACCTTGTGATCCAGTGCTTTTCCTGCAACACCACACCAGGAACCCTTTTAGCGTATATTACATCATAGCATAGTAGTTATGAGTTGGGCTGCTAACCTCAAGGTCAGCAGTATGAAACTACCAGTTGTTCCACAGGAGAAAGATGAGGCTTTCTGCTCTTGTAAAGATTTACAGCCTCAGAAACCCTATATAGGGTTGCTATGAGTCAGAACCAACTTCACAGTACACCGCCACCACCACCACCACCTAATTTTCTTAACAGTTGCAAAAGTGTGTATAAACTCTAAGTGAAGCAATACCTGGGGAAAATACATGATGCAAATCTGACGCTAAAACCCAAAATATATATACAGAAATGTACACAATAGTCCATGGATATATGTAAACAGGGGAGCCACTTAGTAAATGGTATTGAAAGCTACTGGGGTTTGGTCACAATACAATCCACTTTCATTAGTCATCTCCTTCTTGTGCATTAATATGTGACATCATGCTCTCATATAACATTTCATAATGAAGTAAAATAAAAAGTCCCTCCAGATTGCAACTGTAAGATAATCAGATTCTGTACTGCTCATTATGACTGCAATTATGTAACAGAACTCTCCAAATATAGTTCCGTTATTACAGTTATTAATCATTCTGGTTTTGTTTCAAGTACTTGCTTTATAGCCTGCTGGAAAGACTCCATTATTGTACAAGCTGAATGTCTAAAGTTAAACATGTACATGGAATCTGCTGTTCTAATGGCCTTTCACAGTCCTTTTGACATAATTTACCATTTCTATTTGTATTTGTGAATGCAAAATAAATTTTCTTAAAGTCGGGGGGAGGGGTTAAGGCTGGTGTCAATAGAGTCACTGACCTTTGCCATAAACAGAAAATAGTCCTTAATGGAAAACAACTTGGCAAATAAGGAACCTATTCTGCCAGAACTAGAAACAGTGCTGTTTAAGAAGTTAGTCTCAGAATACCAATCAGTTCATACAAAAAAAGCAGGGAGAAAATCCTGGAAAAAGCTCAAAATTTGATGAGGAAAATAATAAGAAGGCTAACAAATGTACACTTCTAAAGGTTCAAAGAACCAACACTTACTGGATAGGATATATGTCTAAACATCTTATATACAAAACGATATATTCTGATTACTTTAACTACAAAATGCCAAGTAAAATACAGCAGATTTATTATGCAGCACAAACACCATCTGTACCACCTTAAATCATTGCTACAGACAAATTTCTAGGAAGAAAAAAATAAAAAAATATATATATATATATATATATATATATGAAAAATTCTCAGGCCTAGATTCTGAGATGTTAAAGTATTTATTATTTATTTACTAAATATAATTCCCAAAGTGACTGCATGGTTATTTAAATATTAAAATATAGAGCACCCACAAAAATAAATATAACAACACATTAACATGGTTTACAAAATGCATGTTACCAATTTCACATGGGTCACAGTTTTTTCAATTTAGCTACATACATTGGGCCCCAGGCTTTGCCCTTATCTGGAATTACCAAGAGCCCACATTCCTGCCCAGTGGGAGCAAATGTGAAGTCCTGAGAGCAAGTCATTGCCATTTCCTTAATGTCCACAGGCATGATGTTACTGTAGGAGTTTAAAATTTCATCGATCACGTCTTGATTTTCTGCCTTAGAAAGCGTGCATGTAGAGTAAACAAGTAACCCTCCAGGACGTAGGGCCTTAATTGCAGACCTGAAAGCAATCACAAAAATACAAAAGATAATTAGGCATATTAAGAAAACAGTAAGGGGTCTAAGGGCGAGGAGGTGTATGTACTTGAAACTAATCTAACAGACTGTGATAACTTTGGATGTTTTTCAGCTTTATAACTATTTCTTTCTAACTTTCCCCAGGGTGATTGGGAAACTGTTGACTGGAACAATCAGCTTGGGAATGATAAAAGTGCTGCATTTATTTGATTAGTTGGTAGTTTTCTTCTCCTAGGGTAGAAGGCTAAGGATAACATATGAAATACTTTATCTTTGGATATTTTAATCGAAAGGTACATTTATCTTTTTATATACCAGAATACTGTCTGATATAGTGCTAGAAGAGGAGCCCTGTAGGTTCAAGACACTCAAAATACACAATGGCCAGCCCAATAAATATATCTTGGTGGTTGTCATGTGCTGTGGAGTTGGTTCCTACTCATAGTGACCCAGTACAGGGTTTCCAAGGCTGTAAATCATTACAGGAGCAGAAAGTCTCATCTTTCTCCTGTGGAAAAGCTGGTAGTTTTGAACGGCAGCCTGATTTGTAACCACTACGTTACCAGAGCTTCTTAGATAAGCTTTTAAGACCCCAGTTGCTACTCACCAAGAGTGAAGAAAGCCAAAGATTTAGGGAAACAAAGAACTAATGGACCAAGTGAACCACAACCTCCAGTAACCTGAGAACAAAAGAACTAGATGGTACCCAGCTACCACTACAAACTACTCTGATCAGGATCACAATTATAGGTCCTGGGCAGACAGGAAGAAATATGTGAACAAAGTTCAAATTCATAAAAAAAAAAAAAAAGACCAGATTTAAGGGGCTGATAAAGACTGATGGAACCCTCAAGACTGGCCCTTAGACATTCTTCAAGCCTGGAAATAAACTCAAGCTTGGAAATGAACTCTCAGCCAAATTACAGACAAGCTATAAAGTGAATAATACACCAGAGAGAAATGTACTGCTCAGTGCAAGCAACCACAGAAATCAACAGGGCATCACTTGTTCAAAATAAAGCTCAGAAGTCAGTAAGCAGCAGGGAAGATGGATGAATGAAAACTGGGAACTCAGAGAGGAAGGGAAAGAATGTTGCTACATTGAGGGATTTGCAACCAATGTCACAAAACAAAATGTGTATAAACTGTTGAATGGAAAACTAATTTGCTCTGTGAATTTTCACCCAAACCATAATAAAGAGAACTAACAAACCGCTATCATTCATTTGGGGAAGAATTGACAGTTTTACTATATTGAGTCTTCCAATCCATGAACACAGCATGTATCTGTGTTTATTTAAAACCTCTTTATCAGTATTTTTAAGCATACAGATGTTATAAAGAAACTGTATGCTTTGTTAACTGTATCTCCCAGTCTTTCGTTTTATTTTGGGAGTGATAGTATTGATTTTATTTCTGTTTCTGAAATTTTCATTGTTAATATGTTGCTGTTGTTAGGTGCCATCGAGTTGGTATCGAACATAGCGACCTTATGTACAGCAGAAGGAAACACTGCCCGATCCTGGACCAACCTCACTATTGTTGCCACGCTTGAGCCCACTGATGCTGCCACTTTACCAATGCATCTCACTGGGGGTTTTACTCTTTTTCTCTGACCCTCCACCCTACTAAACATGATACCTTTCTCCAGTGACTGGTCCCTCCTGACAATATGCCAAAGTATGAGAGATGAAGTTTGTGCTCCAAGAAACACTCTGGCTGCACGTCTTTCAACACAGATATGTTGGTTCTATTGGCAGCCCATGGCACTTTCAATATTCTCCTCCAACACCATAATTCAAAAACATCAATTCATCTATGGTCTTCCTTATTCACTGACAAGCTTTCACATGCATATGAGTTTATTGAAAATACCATGGTTTGGGTCAGGCATACCTTAGTCCTCAAGCTGACATCTTTGCTCTTCAGTACTTTAAAAAAGTCTTGTGCAGCAGATTTGCCTAATGCAATATGTAATTTGATTTCTTTACTGCTGCTTCCATGAGTGTTGATAGTTGATCCCCAAGAAGAATGAAGTCCTGGACACTTCAATCTTTTCTCCATTGAAAGAACGTTGTTTATTGGTACAGTGGTGAGGATTTTTGTTTTCTTTACATTGAGAAGCAATCCATACCAAAGGCTGTGCTCTTTGATCTTCATAAGTAAATATTTTAAGTCTTCTTCACTTTCAGCAAGCAAGGTTTTATCAGCTGCATATCACAGGTTGTTAATGAGTCTTCCTCCAATCCTGATGCCATATTTTTCTTCATATAACCCAGCTTCTCAGATTATTTGCTCAGCATACAGGCTGGATAAGTATGGTGAAAGAAAACAACCCTGTCACACATCTTTCTGAATTTTAAACCATTCAGTGTTCCCATGTTCTGTTCAAACAACTGCCTCTTGGTCCAGGTACAGATTCCTCATGAGCAAAATTAAGTAAGTGTTCCGGAATACTCATACTTTGCAATGTTGTCCATAGCTTGTCATGATCCACACAATCGAAAGCCTTTGCATAGTCAATAAAGCACAGGTAAACATCTTTCTGATATTCTCTGCTTTCAGCCAAGATCCATCAGACATCAGCAATGATATCCCTCATTCCGTGTCCTCTTCTAAAACCTGCTTGAACCTCTGGAAGTTCTCTGTCAATGTATGCTTGTAGCCATTTCTGTATTACTTTTAGTAAAACTTTACTTGCATGGGATATCAAAGAGATTGTCTGATGATTTCCACATCCTGTTGGGTCACCTCTCTTTGGAATGGGCACAAATATGGATCTCTTCCAATCAGTCGACCAGATAGTTGTCTTCCAAATTTCTCGGCATAGAAGAGTGAGTTGCCTCCAGTGCCGCCTCACTTTCTTGAAAGATTTCAATTTTTGTTCCATCAATTCCTGGTGCCTTGTTCTTTGCCAATTCCTTCAATGCACCTTAGACTTCCTCCTTCAGTATCATTGGGTCTTGATCATATGCTACCTCTTGAAATGGCTGAACATCAACCATTTCCTTTTGGCACAGTGACTATGTATTCCTCCTTCCACCTTCTTTTGATGCTTTCTGCATCATTCAATAATTTGCTCAGAGAATCCTTCAATAACAAAAGTCAAGGCTTGAATTTTTCTTCAATATTTAATAACAATAATTTATATTATTATTAATATCAATCTAATTAATATTTGGTCAGTGGTTTGAAACTACCAGCTGCTCCACGGGAGAAAGATGAGGCTTTCTACTCCCGTAAAGATTTACACCCTCGGAAACCCTGTACAGGGTCGCTATGGGTCGGAACTGACTCAACGGCACTTAACAACAATTAATATTTTTGTTTATTAATAATATACTCTACAACCTTACTAAATGCATTCATTAGTTTGGAGACTCTTTTATTTCTAGAATTTATTTTTGGTTAAACTATTAGGCCATCCACAAGTAAGAGCAATTGTTTTATCTTGTTCCCCAACAACAATGAACAAATACACCATGACTGTAACATTGGAATTGAATGCACTGATTATGAAGATGGTGGAGACTGGGTACGACATTCGGTTGTGCTGTACATGGGTTGGTCAGGAATCAGCGCCAACTCTGTAGTAACTAACAACTTTGGACATACTGAGTTGTGTTACTGGATAGGTGGGAAGGAGCATCTGAACTTCAGGAAAGGGATTTCAGAGTGATAAGTGGAGTCACAGGAATGAGATTTCTCAAGAAAATAAGTGTAATAAAAACAAACAGACAGGAAATAAATGCCTATATTTAAGGAGAGGGAAATGTAGAAAGTAAATTAAGAAGGCTTCACCAGATGAATGAATGATTCCTTTGAGGAAAGAGACAAAAAGGAACTTTTTTGTTTTGTTTTTCAAAAAGAGATTTGAATATATCTATAGATGCAAACTCAGGGAAAAACAGATCCGAGAACTTCAGATTGCAAATGGAGGAGTTAGCCTCAGAAAAGAAGGGATTCCAGCTCTTCATCTGAAACAACATGGTAGCATGAACAGGGATGTCTGAAGATAAACAGAAGTTCATGATAAATAGCTCTGCATCAGTAGAACAGAAAACAAGGTCATCTATTTAGAGATGAAACTATAAAAAGTTTAATCAAGATGTGATGGTAATGATAACGTCAAAGCAATTACTAGTCAGAATGTCTTAAAAATAATTCATATTCCAGGACCTCTACTGTATATTGAGACTCATTCTCACATGTATATCTAAATATCTAGAACATCTAGAACTAAGAGCATAAATTCAAATTCTGTGCTCTGCATTTGATTAGAAAAGGATTGAGAAATTCTAATTCAAGACAAGCAAATTGATGCCAATATTTAATTCTACCTGAACCCCTGAGCCCTGTGATTCTGAAAAACAGGGATAGGTAAAGAAATCCCCCATCCTCAGTATACAGTACTAAGTGTCACAGTTAACTAGAGGAGAGACAGTGACTAGGGTAAAACTCATGCAGCATGATGGTAAAACTGAAACAAATCCTAACTAGAAGTCACTAGTCAATGTCTCAAGTTGATAAAGGAATACAGGGTAAATATATAATTTAGAGATTTTGTTGTGACCTGGTGAAAAACAAGGTTACTAGAAGAAGAAGGAGAGTGACAGAAGAAAGTTGCATTTGTACTAGATGCTCATTTCTGCCAATGTGATGCATTTCTACGACACTACAAATTAGAGCTATGCAAGATTGTGATAAGTATCAGAACTGTTTCCAGAGAGTTCAGTATTTTTATTTTGTAATTTCTGTTAAAGAATTGCCTCTATAGAAAACATGTTCCCTGAGGTTCCATATAATTAAGATTTTTTGGTATTCACAAATTCTACTCTTCTCATGCATTCATTTATTGATGAAAATACATTTTGGAAAGCATGTATAACTACAGGGCTACTTACCCTTCAGTGTCTGCTGCTAGTCTTTAAAACAACAACAAAAACAAACAAACACAATGCATGTGTTTTCCTTACTTCTCAA